CCTACCTACCTACCTACCTACCTACCTACCTTTACTTTATCTCTCCAGAGGACCTCCTTGTGCATTTCAGATGACCACAAAGACAGAAGAAGACTTTTCTCAATCAGATGATGACTTGGATGAAGATGAGGCAACACAGTATATAATTGAACAAAGTCTGGTTCAGTATAGGAAACTTAGAGGATTGAATCCGAGGTAAATCTCTGACCACACAGTGTTAAACGTCTCTTTCTGTTCATTGTTAATTTCAATTCTTGTTATTTGGCAGTGATCTGAAACCCAGTAATGACCCTGATGAAATTTTCAAAGCAATCAAGGAGGGTAAATGATGTATTTTTAATCCGACAAAACTAAATCAGATTAATTATCTCATCAAAATGTATTATTATAATGTATCTATTTATGCAGGTGATGAGGATGCACTGAACAAACTGGCAGAGCAGCCAGAGACTCTGTCCAGAGTGGATGAGCGAGGATGGATCCCTCTGCATGAGGCCGCAGTGCAGCTGAATAAAAGGATACTAGAGATCATTTTCTCAGGTAGTTAAGTTAAAACAAGAAAAATCTTCTTCTTTTGGTCAAATTCTGCATGTTGATTAGTTTGGTCTTCCAGCCTCACCCCCAGGTGCCACTCAGTGTCGCACTATCAAGGGGGAGACAGCATTGTTTCTAGCCGTGGTCCATGGAATCAGAGAGAACGCCACATTCCTCCTGCAGAACGGCTGTAGCCCGGATCTGCAGAACGACGAGCAGGATTCTCCATTAGTGGCAGGTCTCTGACAGCTAATTCATCTGAAAGCAAAATGCATTTCATTTTACACAAGATTTTAAAACATATTTTCTCTCCCTCTCAACTGAATAATTTCGAAGCTATCCTTAATGACCAGTACGACCTGGCCACTCTGCTGCTCCGCTACAGAGCCACAGTGGACCAGACAGGGCCGCTCAACAGGACAGCTCTCCATGAATGTGCCTTTTTAGGCCTGGAGAACTTTGTCTACCTGCTCCTGGAGTCCGGTGCTGACCCCAACGCGTGTGATGTCAGAAAGAAAACGCCGCTGGCTCTGGCTGCACAGAATGGACATTTCAATGTGGTGGAGGTTTTGTTACAGAAAGGTAACAGTCATCTATCAAATTCTATTTGTAAAGCCTATATTCACAAATCATAAACTCTGACAGAGATGAAGGGAGCAGCGATGACAATTGTTATAACAGAGGTATTGACAGAAATAGTTGTCATATATTGTATCTAAGCAGCAGCTTATATGAATTCTTCTCTTTTCAGCTCTGCAAATTAAATCTTTTCTTTTCCTCCTATGTATTAATTCTGCAGGAGCCCATGCGTGGTGTGAATCTGACTCGGGAACTATTTTATTTGATGCAGCAGCGTCAGGAAACCCTGACATAATCTCCCTACTGCTGGAAAATGGAGCCGATCCCAACGTACCTCTTTACAGCGGCCACCTGCCCATTCACCGTGTGGCCTACCATGGACACAGACTGTGAGGAGAATCTGTAGCTGCTTTCAGACATGCACTGAACTCCGGAGATCCAGCCTGAATGTGTGATAAATGTTTGAGTGGATATTCTGCAATCGGCAAGCTCTAAAAAGTCCAATGTTCGCAGTTGCCGATGTGAGAGCACAGCAGTAGATCCTCCATGAGATTAACCGCAAGCAAGTGGGGGGGAATACAAATATGGCAGCATGAAAAAATGGTGCCACACATGTTAGAGACACAAAGATGTCTAAAGAGCCTATGGTGAAAAGAGTCGATTAACAAAAACAAATAATCTCTACCGCAGAAATAATACATTACATCCTGTCTCTGTCTGCTGCACCACCACCCCCCCACCCAAACGCTGCAGAGATTTCTGTGTTGTTGTGAACGGGTCTGTGCGGAGAATCTCCTGCTGCAAACTTCAGAGATAGCTGAACCCCATTCTGTGGACATTCTCTGCAGTTGGTGTCTGAAATGTTTAAGCATCTTTTCAAACTGAGTGTGTTATTAAACGTGGACTCCTCTCTGACAGGGCACTGAAGCACCTCATCCCTGTGACTACACTGGACGCTGTGAGGGACAGCGGGATGAGTCCTCTCCACTCTGCAGCTGCCGGGGCTCATCCCCACTGCGTGGAGATGCTGCTCAAAGCCGGCTATGACCCAAACGTCATGCTGCACCAGAGGGTGCGCCGCAACTACGAAGACGACCGCAGGTCGGCCCTCTTTTTCGCCGTGTCCAACAATGACCTTCAGTGCACCCGCCTGCTGTTAGAGGCAGGGGCCATGGTGAACCAGGACCCTATCAACTGTTTGCAGGTGGCTCTCAGACAGGGCAACTATGAACTGATCAACACGCTGCTGAAGTCTGGGGCAAATGTGAACTACTACTCCCGCATCAACACCACCCACTTCCCCTCAGCACTGCAGTACGCCCTGAAAGACGAGGTCATGCTGAGAATGATCCTGAACCATGGGTATGATGTCAAGCGCTGCTTTGACTGTCCTTATGGCGACAGCTCCCACGATTACGCCCCCTGGACGACTTCAGTCATCAAAGACATGGTGGTGAGACGAAGCTGCTCGGAGAGAAACAGGAGAAGTGGAGGTAAAGACTTTCACACGTGTCTCTTTGTGCCTTTTAGTTCTGTGAGGTGATAACCGTGTCCTGGCTGAAGCACCTATCTGCTCAGGTGGTGCGCATCATGCTCGACTACACCGACCACGTGTCCTTCTGCACCAAACTGAAGCACATATTGGAGGAGCAGAAACAGTGGCCAGAGATCTGTCACCTTCAAAGTAAGAGCTGCCATGATCCTCCATTAGTCCATTTATTTATGGAAAGTAATGTTGATGATTTTTTTCTCTACACTCAGGAAATGCTCGGAGCCTGAAGCACCTGTGTCGTCTGCAGATAAGAGAGCATCTCATACGCTTGCGCCTGCGAGCCCCGGCGTTCATCAACTTTCTCCCTCTTCCTCTGAGGCTGAAAGATTACCTCCGCTACAAGGAGTTTGATGTTTACAGCAGGGGCAGCATGGTGACTCCCATGTGACTCCCATCCCATTGTATAGATTTATATAAGATTCTCTGACATAAGGATATTATTACCATCATCTTAATTATATTTATTTTACACTCGGCTTCTTATTGCAACTATTTAAGAATGTGAATGCAAAAATATAATGAGTTTATTTATCATATGAAAAAATACACGAGAGCAACAAAACATGCATTCGATCAAAATGTTTATAAAGTAATCAAAAATACATTTAACTGTGTCTTTCTTTTATCATGTGAGGTGGAAGGAAGGATGGTGATTGTCTCCCTCACCACTTGGTGGCAGGATGAAGTGTTACAATGGTGGTATTTGCATGGGTTTCTACGGTGTGTGTAGCTTGTCAGCCACATGCCATCTCAGTGAGTGTCGGGTAAAAAAGGTCTCACATAGAGGTTATAAAAATAAAGGTAATGTTTGGTCGTATAAAACAAGATATCATCCTACATGTAATTACTTCTTCGTGTTGTTAAATAGTTTCGATACCATATCCTGGACATAGGACCATGTCCATCACATTTCTCTCAGTTGTTGCAGTATCCATCCCCACAGCTGGGTGGTGCAGATTCTCTTGTCTGCAAACCATAGACTAATGCATTTGTGATATATATGTAAGATAACATATGCACTTTATGACACACACAGGACGTCATGAGTTTAAATAAACTGTATCAAATTTATTTTTCTCCATCATTGCGAGTCAGTCTTAATTTTGCTTATACGAATACTTCATAAGTATATAATCAAGAGTTTCTTTTAGTGATAAAAATAAACACAACATTGAATTTTTCAGAAATCAATCTGTATATTTCTTAATAGAAATGTAATAATGTAAATAACATACTACCACCACACACAAAACCCTAAAAGCACTTTTGGTCAAAATAACAGTTTTCTAATAACATACTCTGATATATATTTTCTTATCATGAAAATGAAATTAATTATCATGGTGTATAAAATGAAACAAAAAGTGATCCACTTGTTGTGATAGCTTAAAGACATACACACCACACAGGGTAGCGTTTTCATCTAGGTCAAACAGTGGTACAGTACATGGACATTGGAAGTTTCTGTGATATAACACTTGATGGCTAAAAGTGTAAAAGTTACAGTAGCAGTAAAAATATGGAGGTACCAGAGCAGCGTTGTAGTTTTCTGTCCTAGGCACAGCATCAGTCACACTGTACTCTGGACCACAGCAGCAAACGGTGAACAGGCAGCAAGCGACCCTGGCGACCTCACACGCAGCTAGAGTACTTCTGCAACTGTTCCCAGATCTTGTCCCGCACCACGGTGGCGTTTTCCTTCAGCTCGTCCAGGTCCGCGCGCTGCCTCTGCATCCGCCGCTCATTTGTCTTGAACCTTTTCTCCAATTCTGCAGAGAGTGACACAGAAGTCAACATGGGCGACAGCAAGAAGGGACTCTACAGCTGGACAACTTGAGAGTTCATTCACTCATCCACAGGAATCACAAAATCATATGTGCTGCTCAACTGTCCTTCCTCCATCAGATCAGTGGATCATGATCATGGTGGCAGATCAATAGTGACTACAACTAGGCAGCTGCTTAGATACACAATATGCCTATTCACATATACTACTATTATTGGCAATACCTCTATTATTGCAATTGTCATTACTGCTCCCTTCTTCTTTCATTTCTATAAAAACATTGATGAGCCTCTCCATTTATGGTATTTTATTGATATGTTCTGCTACACTCAGCATCTATTGTGCTTCAGTCCGTCCTGGGAGAGGATACTAATAAAATTTGATGTATTGATGAATGACCCCAAACAATCTCAGACACAAAACTGTTGATTTAGAACTTTTGAACCTATTTTATTTATTTAATAACCTAATCAAAACCTCATCATTTACTGTGAGCCACAGGAAGCAGCCCTTATTTCTGATAATGCCACATAGTGTTTCAAACTATCTTGGACCTCTCAGGGCTAACGCTGATGTAGAGTCACCTGTTTGGGACGTCTCTAAATCATCAAATTGGAAAAGTTAACACCCTCTAATTAAGGTTTGTTGGCCCCCCGCCCACAGCAACTGTTGGTGAGTGGGAATCTGGAAAGCTGCACCTTCCAAACCGAAAACCACCATCTTGTCTACCATCCTCGCATAACCCCTGTCTGTCTCTCACATGGACCGTTCAAACCACTGGCACAGGCGACTATCTCAGCTCCAGACCGCGTGCTCCTCAGACATGGTTTAGCCCTGGGACCCTGGCTGTTTCACCAGCAGCTGCCTGTGCTGATTCAAACGACAACTGTGGTCTTGGCGGTCAGGAAACTCCAGAGGCAAGAAGCTTCACCTCATAGAAACTAACATTTCTGTTAAAAAGTGTGTGTAGCAAGCTAACTTGTGTGTTTGTGTGTGTTTGTGTGTATTCATTTCCAGGGAAAGACACTTTTGCCAAAACTTAAAGGATCAAACAAGTATCAACACATTCTCGCATCATTTACAAAAGAGAAGAAGTGAACTGTTGCATTACGCTAAAAAGCAACAGATGTTCTCACAGCAGCACCACACTAGATAACTGATAAAAAACTTGTTAAGACTGAGAGCAGCTTCATGCACTCACTCTCGAGTTGTTTTATCCCGTCAGTGGCTTTGTTTAAGAGGTCGTCTGCCTCCTTCTTCATGTCCTTCGCCCTTTGGTTGATGCTGTTCAGATCTCCAGACTCACCACCAAGATTGTCCACCTTCGTCTGCAGCTCATGGAACCGCGTCTCTGTTTCATTGAGGCTCTGGGAGAAAACACATGTCTTGTTACATTTAACCTTATTTTTTGTGAAGAAATCTTGGTACAGTGTTTCCCATTAATTCTCTACACTGTGGCAGTCGGCCTTATTCTAATTTTTTCCACCGACAGTTTGGTGCACGTCTCATAATAACATAAAAGATCTCTGACTTGGTGTTTTGCTCGCTGAGGCCACAGAATCTTTTATCCTTTCATACTGTGCTTACCTGCTCCAGTGAGGACGCTCGGTGAGTGGCGTTGTTAGCCAGTGCTTTGGCGTTTTTCGCCATCTGTCTGTTCTGCTCCGTCTTGTTCCTCAGAGCTTCCACCCCCATAGAGAGGTTGTTCAAACGCATCATGACGTCCATTTGATTATCATCCAGCTGCTCCAGCCTCTCCTCCACCTGAGAGAAAATTACTAGTATTATTATTATCATTAAAAGAATAAATGGAGCAATTTGAGAGGATATATTATTCTATTTTGAAAAGAAATAAAAATAAAGCACTGTACAGGCAGGTGGTAAGTTAATGGAACATTACAGCTAAGTGTCGGGTGTCATGCTGTACCTCAGCAGTCGCCTTCCTGGTGCTGTTCAGGTTATTGTTGGCCTCTGTCAGGGCTGTTCTTGCTTTGTCTATGGCCTTTTCAGACACTTCCAATGCCTGCTTCGTGCTATTGACTTTATCCTTCACTCCTTCCGCTCGCCTCCTGCACAACGTCACCAGAAAAAACAGAAAAAGGTGGTGATTGAAACATTAATGTGATAAATGCAAATAGTTCCATTTGTTTGTTAGTTTCCTTTTGAGTTGGGGGTCTGGTAGTTCAGTTGTCAGGGGGAAGGTTTCTGGCTTAGACATGGCATGGCGTCCTCCTTACGTGTTGCAGTCACTGGGTTAAGCAAAGTGAAATTCTGAGATTGTGGCTGTACCACTCCTGAGGGAAATACCCGTAGCTCTTTACTGTCTGCCCCTGGACAGATCACATGGAACGATTGCTTTGTCTGAACAAAACATCTGAAATTGTCACTAGGAAACAAAACAGTTAAGCTGAGGAAACCCACAGAGTCTGGGGATAATTGTCTACATTACTACAATATACCTATTGGTGGCTCAAATCCCAGCTCATGTTGAAGTATCCTTGGGCAGGATGATGCTGAGCCTCATAGATGTTGAATGCACTGTAAGTTGCTCTGGATAAAAGTATCATCCAAATGACATGAAATATAATGATCAGTGTTTCCCTATAATCTAGATTGTGGTGGCTCGCCATATTCTAATTTGTCCTGCAACAGTTTCATAATGAAAAACCACAAAAACATAATATAAGAGATTTCTACCTTGTTGTTTTATTTGTACAGCTGTGTGTAGCGCTGTGTGCAGCGCTATTGTCCATAAAGTTGTTACCATCCACGCACACAGTCCAACCTCATGTAGTTTCAGCTGCAGTCGTTTGTGTGCATGCACACACACAACTGCCATTGAAGGAATTCATTTTGTGAATTTTTTGGTCATAGTCAATAAAAAAGATTTGAGAAGCTTTTAAGTCCAGTTTTTAGGAATACTGCAAATATATTTGAGTGTTTTTAGTGTTTTGAACAGTAAAGTGTGACCCTAATATACAATCTGACAAATCTAATGTCTTTTGCTTTGTGGGTGGATGCTAAAATATGAAATGTCTTGCTAGTCTTTGCTGTCTCTTTCATATGCTTCTTTTAACAGCAAGAGTTTATGGTGAATGTGGTTTCTGTTTTGAGAAACAGCAGGATTACTAACTTGGCATCTTGAGCTTGCTCAAGCAGCTCCTTGGCTTTGCTGATGTGCTGCGAGGTTTGGTTGACAATGTCCTCCACGTTGGTGAGGTTGGACAGGCCGTCCCTTATCTTCATGACCATGTTGTCCAGCGTGGTCTTGTTGAACGGCAGCTTGATTGACAACACCTGCAGAGCCACTTTCTCTATGCTCTCTGGATCGGCTCCCTCCTCTGCACAACAGGGAGGAAGGAGAGGCAACAGATGTAAAATACAGAAACACTCAAACACAACATCATGCTGTATTTTCTCCTCCTGCGGGTGAACTCAGTTTAGCTGAACTAAGATCAATCTTTTAGAAGAGTTACCAGTTGAATCATGATAAACATACCAGTGAGGAAATTTCTGATCGTCTCGATGAAATCTTTGAGCTTCTTGTTGTTGTTTTCAAACTGGTCTTTCTTCTTCTGGGCTTTCTCCAGCGTGTTCATCGCCTGGTTCTTCACATCCTGCGTCAGAGAGGCTATATCCTGGAGCTGGACACAGCAAACCCCGATGTCAAGTCAACAAAGAACCATTATTTGGCTTCTCGAGTCGTGGCAGATAACAGGACGCACTGTCACACAGGAAATACAGAGTGGTTGAACTTTTTTCAGTACCTTTTTGGCGACACCCTGCAGCTCCTCATTGGCAGTGTTCAAACCGTTGGTGGCGAGCCCAGCTTGTTTAAGGGCAGCAATGGAGGCGCTCACCGTTCCGTTGCATCCGTCGCCTCCACACACACGATTACCCTGATCGTCACGGCAACCGGCGCCACCACACTGGCTGTCTGGGCAACTTCCATTTACGCTGTCATTGCTGTGACCACCACATACCTGAAGGGAGAAACAATGCATTATTACGAATTACGAAAATAGAAAATGTATCTGGAAAGAATGTATGACTCATGTTTAGTTATATAATTAGATCTAGGTATTAATACAAGGTATGAACAGGCCGACATTTACTTTTACAATATATTTGTTAGGTTATACATTGATCAACGGGGCCACAATGCAACCAGCCCTCACCTGAAGTATAAAAGTATGTCTGGTTGGTTGAGTCAATTCCTGCTGCTAACACATCCAGTTCATCTCAATCTTTCCTTGTCCCCAGATGTACCAGCCTCATCTTGTCACCAAAATACCAAATGTGCACAGTCATGCTCCCTGTGCACTGCACATTTAACCACACATGCAGTGTGTTGACTGGTGATAGCAAACGTTTCCACCACAGTTTAGCCTCAGTTAGAGTCAGTGGAGAAAGTGTCAAGTCCATAATCAAGGCTACATCATGTGATTAATCATTTTATTATAAAAGAATTTTCTTTCATTCGGTACGCCCAATACTTTCAGCCCATTTCAGACCATCCACTCGTGAATGTTTGTGATTGAGTGCGTCTTTGTCCACCCTCCAGTAGCTACTACTGATGACTTAAGGCCACTAGATGTCACTGTAACTGAACTCAATTAAGAGTAATTAGAAAAAAAGAGCATCAACAATCAGCATCAACATTGTAGTCAATTACTCAAATTTTCAAAAATGTATCACTGACTAAGCAGAGGCTAAATGTAGCTAACACAAATAAACAAATCAGTCAATTGCAAGAGCAAATGGCTGAAACTTGCAGCTCTGTCTACCTTTTGGCTGAGGAGATGGACCTTCTCATCCAGGTTGTGAGCCTTCTCCTGCAGCTCGTTCAATGATTTGTTCTGAGCTGCCAGAGAGCGGAGGAACTTGTCTTTGCTGGCATCCAGCAGGTTTTCAGTAAGAGTGCGGGTTTCTTTGGACTGTTCCACTGCACTGGAGGGACCATACACTGAGCTGTTGCATTTCTCCTCAGCCTCCAATGACTGTAAATAGTACTTCTTGACTTTCTCAAACTGATCTGGGATGAGACAAGAATACGAGTTTGACAGTTATGATTGACAGCTAATTATTCATTATATATTTACTTCTTTTATTTGTTGTCATGAGACCTTGTGTTGTTGAGTTTCATTGACTTAATTGAGTTTGCTACCTGTAAACCCTGCGGTGAGGTAGTCATCGAGCAGGCGCTGTTTGTGAGCCACAGTGGTGTTGATGTCCCTCAGGTCTTTCTCCAGATCATTCAGTGTACGTCTCAGTGCCTCCTCTTCTTCTGCTGTTGTATTTAGCTCTCGGGTGACGCCCATCAGACGCCCATCGGTCAGTGCAATCTCAGCCCTGAAACATAAAGAGTGGTGTATTTGATTTACTACCTGGTTTGTTCTTTGGTAGCAAGTGAAAGAAGACATATTCGTGGAAATCCAAACACGGTTTGACATCCTCACCTCAGGTCATCAATGCTCTGTCCAATCAGCTGGTGGATCCTGTCGCTGTCGTCCACACTGATCAGATCCTGCACCTGCTTCAGCTTCCTCTCCAGTTCTTTGATGTGCGTGTCCTCTACTCCTGGCGTGACCCCGCTCTCCAGGATCTTCTGCACCGTGTACTGGATGTGTTCCAGGTCCCTTCTGATCTGGCACAGCGCATCATCCCACAGCTGAAAGCACGGGTGACACTGGACACATTTTGGGAAAACGCCTGTGAAGCCTCGAGCGCACTCATCGCACTGCTTCCCGACTGCTCCCTCCAGGCACTCGCATGCTCCCGTTGTACGGTCACACTGGGCCATCTCTGAGCCCAGGGGATGACAGTTACACTCTGAATGGAAGGCACCAGGAGAGAAGGCAAAGAAAGACATTTAGTATAATTCATGTCGGAGATGGTGCTGGTATCTTCTGACTGGCAGGTTTTTCATGTTTGGTGTTTTTTGAAGTCAGAAAATGTCTGTGAACAAGGTCAGCTCAAGTGATGGACATTGTGTGGGATTCTTTGGCTTTTAATCTTTGTCATCATCATTATTTAACTTGCATTAGATTATTATAAGTTGAAAATCTGGACCTCACACTACAGAGAAGTCTAAAACACCTGGTTAAAACTAGCCCTTGTTTTAATGATGTAATACATTATCAACCCTTGTTAATAAATCTTTTCAGTCATGTACACATTAGAGGCCCAGAATGATAAATACCATATGAATGGTAGGAATGGCAAGTTGATTTTGTATACACTGATGGACTGTTGTTCTAGCGTCACTAAATCTCACTGTTATAACTAGCCTAAAATATAATTCCCATTCCTGTTCACAAGTGCTATGTACTCTATGGTATTTGTTACAGGGTGAATTACCTTGACACTGTACCTGAGGGTCACCCCAGTGGAACTGCTCACACTCAGTGCACTGCTTGCCTCCAAAGCCTGGATGACAGTGGCACTGGCCTGTGAACTGTAGAATACAGAGAGAGACAGAGAGATAGCTTCACCAAGAATGATAGGCAGTCACATACGGATAAGAAATAAATAACAATACTTATAATTTATCATTTTCCTTTTCCACTTCCTCACCATGTTGCAGTGAGCACCCAGAGCGTGTTGTGGGTCACAGTGACAGGGCTCACAGCCTCGGTCCTGACCGTAGTTCCAGTGGTTCGAGGCGCACTGGTCACAGTTGTTTCCAGCCACATTCTCCCTGCAAGGACAGGCTCCTGTTTGCCGGTCACAGTGACACTGTCCATCGCTGCAAGCAGACTGCATAGTGCCAGCAGTCACACAGGTACAACCTGACAAGAAAAGATTTGTTTAATGGACACACAAAGACACAAAGTTGAATTTCCACAAACCGTATTTTGATAAAATAAGAAATTTGGCAGTCTAATGTTAAACTGAACGTTCTTAATTTCATTAAATGGCAGGTCTGTTGAATTTCTGTGTTAAACGAGATGAACTTTACAACAGGCCTGTACATGGTCAAATCTGTGCCAAACATCACGTCAGATAAGAATCTCGGCCTGAACATATCTACTTTACGATATTCAGGCTCAGTCAAAGTGCCACCTAGTAGCAACTGAAAATAACTCCTTTTACACTTGGATATCCTCCAAACAGGTTGATCCTATCACTTTCAATATCACCTTCATTGTGAATATTGTGAGTTTTCATCAATGGTGCTGTGTTGAATTTCGAGACTTTATCATGAAGTATTGAAACTTCACAAAGTCAGATCTGGACCAAATTTCCTATGTTTAATGAGAGTTCCACCCTGGATACAGGTGCTTCTTCTTTTCTCTATAAAGTTAAAACTCAGAGAGAAGTTGGTGGTTTATCATCCACTCAGTTTTTAGGCATGTAGCTTTTGACGCTAACATCAGTAATGTAACACAACACAGACATCGAATATAACATTGGAAAGATAAATTTGCTATCATTACTCACGTCTGCAGTCATGGGCCAGAGCGTTGCCATAGTAACCATGTTGACAGTGTGCACAGGAGGGGCCGTCGGTGTTGTACAGGCACTTGAGGCATTGGCCGGTCCTGGGGTCACATGACTCAAAGTCCTGGGTGTCGATGTTGCCGCTACACTCACATGGTAGGCACTGCCCCCCAGGCTGGTCTGGATTACCATAGTAACCAGGGGCACACTGGTCACAGCGGGATCCTTGGTAAGAAAACAGAGAATGTGGCACATGTTGGGTTTAAAACTTCTTTACACTGATGTAAGACATTAGTAGAGTCTTAAACTCTGAGTAGTTCAGTGCAGAATCAGCCACAGTGATTTTGCCATTATTAATGAAATATATGTGTATAAATGATCAGGCCTAGTGAAAAGTGAGCAACAAAAGACACCAGTGTCATAGCTCACCAGTGTAGCCTTGCTTGCAGTTGCAGATGATCTGGTTAGTGCTGTGATCAGCCTGACAGGAGTGTCCGTTAAAGTGATCTGAGCCGGGGTTTCCGGGGCAGGGGCAAGGCCGACAGTGTTCCCCTGAGCCAAGCACTGGGTTCCCAAAGAAGCCATCCACACAACTAGGGCGAACGCAGAAAGGTATTTTACCACGAGGTTCAAAAGACCAGAGTCTGACATCTGATCTGAGTGTTATAACCTTACCGTTCACAGAGGTGTCCAGCTGTGTAGTCCCTGCAGTCTCGACACTCCCCGGTGCTGGGGTCACAGAGGTCTGCGTGGCCGTTACACTGACAGGGGCTGCAGCTGGGGAAGCCCCACTGGCCTTGTTGGCAGTCAGAGCACATCCGTCCAGTGGCTCCCTGCCTACACTGGCACTGGCCTGTAACTGGGTCACACTGGTGGCTCAATGAACCCTCAGAGTGGCAGTCGCAGGCTGGACAGAGTGAGGTATTCAAAGGGTTATTCACTGTTCCCCAACTGATATTCACTATTTGTCTTTCCTATTGGAATTTTGAACAAAAATATACTGAATTATGGAAGTGAATTATTTATATGAATAATGTGATGGTGTAACTGGACTTCTCTTTGGATTGAAATTCAATTAGTACTGAGTTTTTTTGTTTTTATCTGTTCTACCCAAGTCTCTCTTGCAAAAATTTAGACTACCTGATAAAACAAATCTTATTTATTATGCTCTGATCTGTAATTAAGTGCTACCATGTGAGAGAGTTAGCTGATCATATAGCAGACTCACCAGTGCAGCCATTCACTCCAAAGCCGTAGGTTCCTGGGGAACACTGGTCGCAGTGTTGACCCATGACGTTGGGTTTACATCGACACTGACCTCCCACTCTATCGCACTCCCCACTGAGGGAACCCTGCGGGTCACACTGACAGGCTGGATACAAGAAATACAGAACAATATTTAAAAAGCATTAGAAACTTGAGCTGTCACTGGATTTCAACTTGCTTCCACTAAATGTGAGTTATGTATGACTGTACTTACACAGAGCGCCGCCGTGAATGATGGAGGAAATACTACAGATGAGTTTGGAACACATCTCAGCCAGGACGGGCATCGGTGTGATCATGAAGGAATCCAGACACATGTAGCGAATCATCTCCTCCCGCCGCTGCTCGGCCAATGGCTCGTTACTTTGGAAACCAGGAAGCTCAGTGTATTTGGGAATTAGAACCAGCTATTGAGATTTTTTTTAAAAACAAAGAATCAAATCAAAGAAGTAATTATAGTCAATGCAATAAAGCTGACAAAGTTGATAAGCTATAGTAATGAACTCATAGAAAGAAATCATAAGAATTCAACAGTTCTTTTGAGAGGAAGAACCTGAAACAGGTTTAGATATAAAAGCATCATACAAACTAAATGTATTTGTGTGGGTGTCCCTTAATTTGAATGGTTTATTCTTGGAATGTGCTTTATATTCATATTAAGAAAAAACAGTGATTACACAAGCAGACAGATATTGTAAATACTACACTGCTAAAATCTGTTTCCTGTAATCTCCATGGAGAAACATTTGTGAAGGCTACTGTAGCGTGCATGTTGGCCGATGACATTAGCTCCACAGACTACAGCAGCCTTTCAAGCATAGAGAGAGGTGGATAATGAGGGAGGCGGGCCAACATTCTTAGCTCACCGAGTCAATAAGAACGAAGGCAGTGAGATGTCTGTGTGAGACACCGTGGCGCTGGAACCTAATTGCCACCACGTAACGGTTGCTGGGCTCGAAGCAGAATGGCCTGGGCATCTGGATATATCTGTCAAAACACACAAAATAAAAACAAAGTTTCTCTGACTCTTCTCTTTGTGTTTCAACTTTCACTTCCACAGCCAATGACACCTCAATCATCGTCCCTCCCTGTGAAAAGAAGGGACATTCATGTAGCCTATGACGTTACAAAGCCACAGGGTTTGTAACAAGGTTCAGATAAGTGTTTTTTGTGAATTTAATGTCTAAAAACCAGCCGTGGCTACTGCATTTGACGGAGCCCCGTTTAAGTTTATTTATATTTACATTATTAATAGTGTCGGTGGGCATGCTGCCCCATGCCCTAACCATTAAGGGTTAATATCTCTTATACATTTGAAGGGCTAAGGCTGGACCACCACAGGCGGATCAGACCTGGGTGTGTGTGTCCCTAGCATCTTGGGGCCCGGAGGGGTTTTCCCTCCTGGTCCAGAGCCATTTGCTTCAGGATCTCAGCATCAGCAGATTCATGGGCTCTGCAGGTAAAACTTTGAATCTTATTTAATTGTTATTTATTTGTTAAATTAATTCTCAGCAACATTGAACCAGAACACTCTATGAATGTTTTGACTTTGGGAATAAGGCTGCATGCCTGACACACTGATCTGCACTCTGCATGTAGTCAGAAAGACAATAGGAAAAGCAAAAATTCAAAGAGAAACCTATCTTAATCAAATTTTACTGACGTTTCTGCACCAATACATATGCACTTTAGCACTTATACATAAGAGAAATGAGGCTGATTGCGAGCTTGCGAAAATTGATTAGCATGGAACTTGTTATGATGGCAAATAAAATGTGTAAAATCAATCCAATCCGAAATGTATTTCCTCATTTTTTATTAAATCTTGCAGTGTTTTAATGAATCTGCTGACCATGATATTTTAGTGGCAGGCTGTTCCTCACTTCCATGTCTGACTTGTGTGTTTCTGGAGCAGTCACTGTTCACCAGGGGGAGACTTGATCCACCCTATGCCTGCATCTGGCTTCCCCCCCTGTTGTCTGTGTTTTGGCCTCTCATTGCTAATTGGTTTTGGCTGATGGACCCACCACAGAAGAGAGCGGAAGCCGAGCTATACGGTCCACTGAGACAGGCGGATCCGGGCCTAGTCCGACCACTTAGTTCCAGATCAGTTCAGACTGTGAAAAGCTTTTCAGCAGGTTGAAATTAAACAGTCTTCCTGTTCTCTGCTGCTTTGATCTCACCACAGAGATGAATAACGTTTAATCTCGTCTGATCTGCAATAATCTGTCTAATGCGTTGACTCTGCATCAGTGCAGTAAGCTTTTCATATCATAAACTCAATATGTAATCTGCAATCTTTAATGTAAGGCTTTTAGCAATGTTCTTGTTCAAGCAGATGTGATATGAATTATTATTTTTTAAATCCGAGTATCATCATTGTACTGAGAGTTATTAAGTCTCTTTGATAGATGTAGTTTGACTTTAGAAAATACAATTTCTATAGCAACCAACTTCATTTAGCAATCGCTGGAGTCGCCCTCTGCTGTTCATTCAAGAGAATACAAGTTTCAGTCACTTCTGCATTGGCTTCATTTTTATATACAGTCTATGATTATGTGTCACATTGATGATATACATTAGTCTGAACTACCTTTGATGTGATAGTGGATTTAAACATGAACAAGATCCAAGACAAACTCAGTGAACCTGTCCCAGGTGTGGGGGTTGGATATAGAAACATTTCTCCAGAATTTACCTTTATCTTTAAGGTCATGTGATTGTTTTCGCTATGTAAACAGAGCTGCTGCTTTCTTTTCATATAGCTGTGGCTGACTGTTACACAGGCTTTCTGGTATGTTTGCTCTCCCAATGGAGAACCAATAGTAAAAATCTACAGCAGGGTACAGTGGAATACAAAAAAATAAAGACAAGCCCGACTCACACAGTCGCACACAAGCCAGGGCAAGTCTAAGTGACAAGTAATGATGCAATTTTTTCCCGAGCTGTAAAACAACACAACCCAGATCAACACCTGTGGATGCTTGGACAAACTGAATAAACATACAGGCAAAAAATGGTCACGGTCTTAGACTTATCAGTAACACACACACACACACACACACACACATACACACACACACCAATAGTTGTGCTACCTATTGCGGTGTGGCAGTGTTACAGTGTAGAGCTGCTCAGTTGGGAGAAGGTTTCCACACCGGAGACTGGAGGGTAGCAGAACTGAAGTAATACTGACAACGGCCTCCCAGTCCTCTGTGGACTACACAAACACAGAGAGAGAGAGAGAGGGAGAGACAAGCTTGGTTCAGAAGTCCTTCATTAATTAGCAACACGAGTCTACCTGAGTAAGTCATGTAGGTCATGTTCCCCACACACACTCACACACCTCGGGTTCATAGCGGATCATGATGTCGTACTCCATGGCGTAGGGGATGTTGTCGATAGTGAACACCAGGCCAGCACCATCTTTGACACGGGCGAACCCAGGTCCTGTCCACGTCACCATGTGGCTGGAAGAGTGCTCTCTGTGAACGGTCCTCACATCTGGCTGAGGGAGACAGGAAGAATTACCAAAATGTTTTTTTTCTTATAATTAACATTTGTACTTTCCAATCTGTTCACATCACTGACTCTCCACTTGGTTCACCCTGAGAGGTCTTCTCTCTTTATTATAGGTGCATGGACGTCTAATAAAGCAGCTTTTATGAAGAGTCTGCTCGATTACACGTATAATCACCAGTTTGAATTAAAAAATTGTAGTAACTGAACTTGGAAAGATGACTTTGTTTCTTATCCTGCCTATCCTGGTTTAAAATGTTACACTTGAAGATTAATTCTAAATTTGCGTGAGATTTTCAACAAACAATCAATAATTATTGGTGATGAATCAGTGATCTACTTTGATACTTTAGTACATTTTTCTGATTTCACTCTATACTTTATATCACTAAAACAAAACACCTGAATAATTAGTGTCACCATCACGAGCAGTTATTAAAACTATTTACCCAAACGAGTGCAAATAATCAATAAAAGGTTTTCAGTATTTTGATAAACACTTTATGACACACGAACATAGATCTCCATAATCTACGCTGTGATTGAACTTCATTGGTCTCGGACTTATCATTGTCTCAGTGTTGGTGGTCCTGACTCCACTGGACTCTTTAATGTCCCCACACTTCATATTCACTATTCAGCTTCAAGCTTGACTAGATTGGGCTGAAATAATTAACTTGACAAGCAAGAATTTAATGAGGGTAAGTGACCTCAAACTGCAGAGAGGTGCATACAGCACATGACCACAAAACTTTGACAATGTCAGCCATAGAAATGTTGCACTCTATGTACGTACTATATGCTGTTATTACTACTATGTATAATTCAATGCCTTGCTTTATCTCACTACTAACATTGCCTTAGTGGAGTATACCATTCAAAACAAAGGTTTCCAAAAGGAACCTTATTGGGAAAAGTACTGAAAACTTTCACCTCTACATTCCAGAATGTTGTTAAAATTAGAAATTTAAAGCCGTTTTCAGACAGTTGAGTGTCTGATTTTTCGTTTCACACATGCACAATGCAGCGGGGGGGTTCTCTGCACAGACTCGTTCACAACAGCAAAAGGATGTATTGGAATAATTACGCTGCCGAGATCACATGATTGTTTTTACAGTCTGCAGGAACTGCGGGAGGCTCTCACTCTGACATCTGCATTCACACACCTCTGGAGTTCAGTTCATGTCTGAAAGCAACTTAAAGGTCCAGTGTGTAAGATTTAGGTGAAAGGGAACTATTGGCAGAAATTGAATGTAGAATAATCCTCGTTCCATCTAAATTGTATGAATTGTAGTTTTCTTTACCCAAGAAAAGACCCTTTATATTTAAATACTTTATATTTTTAGTCCAGTCTGACAAACTAAACACCTTTTGAGTTTTTATGACAACTGAAGCTGCCACAGGTTCTTTTTCATGTTTGGAAGGAGAGGGTGAGGTGAGGGGTGTTCAGCTGCAACATGCAACTTCAACACTAGATATCACAAAATTCTACACACTGTGCCTTTAAGTACATTCTACTCGTTAGCCTATTAAGCCCATTATAACGTGTGATGAAGGGGCAGGGATCCAAAGCCATAAAGGCTGAGAACCACCAGAGCTTATTATTTATAACCACCTGTCATCTACAACCTTCAGGACTGTTTGAGGAAACAAGTGTTCTAACCTTGACATGTTCTGTGTCTCATCAACCATAAATAAAACCCATGCATCAATCAAAGTAAATGTCACACTGTCTGTTGAAGCTGGCGGATCCGTCTCAGTGCCGCCCGATGCTGCTGCGAGTTGGTAACGCGGCGGTGGCGGCGGTGACGTCTGAGTTGGTTACTGAGGTGCTGAACGCAGTCGGTCTCTGCCTGGGGACGAACTTTGCCCTGAAAGGAAGGAGAGGAGAGAAGAGGACATGGTTAATCTTTTATTGCTTTCTCATTCAAAAGTAAAAATGACAACACGGAGCACAGAGACTCATGCTGTGCCGAAATTACCAGCGTGTTGAAGAGGAACAAAAATGTGACCCTGAGTTTGTTTTTCTGTGTGTGTCTTGTGTGTGTAAAGCAGCAATAATGAATTGAGACAAGTTGGCATCTATCCTTCTATCAGGTGTTTTTTATGGGTTTTTTGCTGTGTAGTTTGAAGTCTGCACAGGAATCCAGGACTTTGACTTTGAACCTTTGGCACATAGACTCAATTTCCATCCAGTCTCAAGTTCACCCCCTGAAGAAAACAGCCAAAGACGTCAAAATGTCAAAGACACGTCTCCTGTTTCTTAGGGTCTCGTGTCACTGTTTTCTCTAAACATTCTGAATGTCAATACTTGTCTTTCTGTCCACATTCCTCTGGCAGTGATGTTGCAAGGCTAAGAATTGCCTGAGCTTGCCCGGAGGGCCTGATGAGGGAAGTGGAGGGGCCAGAGGTGGGGAGGTCTATTATGAGTGAGGATGGAGGCGGGTGAATGGTAGTGAAAAAGACTGACTGAAAGGGGAAGGAATGTAAGACAGCAACGATGGCTGAGGATAGAGACAGGGATGGTGTGTCGAAATGGAGATTAGTAAGTGACAGCCGGAAGAGGCTTGTCACAGTGTTGGGCTCTGTGTTGGAACAAGGTGGATCATGGTCACCGTGAGTTAAAGGTGAAAGTGCGTTTGGTTAAGTTGTGAAAATGAGGATTATTGTTCCGCTATCTAACTCTTGTCATCAAAACAAAGCAAACAAGAAACAATGATAAGTCGTATCATCCCTCATTCTACTAATTCCAGAAATCTCTGTCTGTATGTAGAACAAATGTCTTGAGAACCGTTCACACTTGGCATATCTATTAGTAAGGGTTCATGGTAATGCAGTGATGCATTTGGTGCGATTTGAACATGCAATATGTTCAATATTAATAAACTTTGACAATATACGAAACGTGCTCTGTAGCAGTGGTGGCTGGCTTTTCAGCATAAGTGACATTCAGCAACAAGCTTATAACAACATGTGGTTACAACAATGGCAATGAAAACTAATTCCCCGGTTCCCCAGCGTACTGAGTTGAGCTTTACCAAACTTAAAATAAACAGCTCTTTGTGCTGCAGTGAGGTCTTCAGGGTTCTCCAGTTGGTCTTTACTTGCTGTCGCTCAGACAACTGCAGGTGACTTTTACAGTTTCTGAAAGAAAACTGCATCCACAGACCAAACCAACAGCCCATTGCAAACAGGCAGGTTTACAACTACACTGCACTAGTATGATTCAAAATCAGCAGGCATAAATCTAACTTCTCTAATGAACTTGGACTGAATCAAATCAAGACAAATACATTATGTCATCTTGTGTGAATCAGGAATAAATATGTTTCGTCTGAATAGAAATAAATGAATCAAGCTAATCTGAATAGGTTACTTGCTTATGTTTGATGGATGTGGATAGAGAGACATAATATAATTTATGGGTTATTGAAATATAGTCCAGATAAATTATGACAAACCTATGCACAGAGCTCTGGAGGGACAAAATATGTTTTTTAAAAGGTTCTAAAAAGTGGGGGTTGTCTTTTATGTGTGGACTCTACAAACATAATTTCATTTATTACAATAGATATTTTTGTTTGAATGAAGAGAGTGGCAGCGTGACTACGTTCTTGTGAAGTGCTACATTATCCAAATGCAACATGGTGAATGGGTTATTTGCAGGTTTTAAGGCTATAGTGTATCTAATGTGCTTCTAGTGCGTCTTTGATCAGCATTTCAAGTATGAACTCATGATCAAGGTATGAACCTGATCAACCTGCCTTGGTTTCGGAAGAATGTTGTCAGATGTTCTGCTGCCACAGAGGAAACCAATTCAGCATCATTATTTAGTTTTGCTTTTCTTCTTGACAAGGTCACTGTAAAAAACAATAGGCTGGCTTGTGTTTGTAAAGATATAATGACATTGGTCCAACATTATGTGAAAATGCAAATTTTCTTGATGCACGAATGTCCTGAACAAACATTCGCATCCCATCCCGACCCCCAACCCACTCACAGAAGCCAACCCAGTGCCTAAACCCAGAAAAAAGCCTTTTAGTTATGGCAACAATAATAATATTTAATTAAATAGAGAACAAAAATGTCTTTGCAAGACATCCAAGATGTATCACCTCTGCTTTTTAATTCAGCACCCAAACAAGCACATTCCTCCAAATCCAACCTTGGTGGAGTCAGAACGATATGAAATTCCTAACAGACATAACATCACATTATCATATGTTATCAGATAAATTGTTGGAACAGCCTGTACAGTCTTTCTGAGAAACTAAACAGACAGAGGAAGATTATATCAACTGCGAATAGTGTTGAGGCATGTATCTACGATATAAAGCTATGTGGTCTGTGACCTCTTTGTTCTTACTGGGAATTATAAATTCTTGACACCTGGCACGATACTCCACGCTCTGTGTCCAATGACTGCAATGTGAGCTGTTGTGATCTGTACTGAACTGTAATGCTCTGCTCACCGGCAGCGCAGGGTCACTGGGGGAGTGTCCAGTTGCGACTTCAGCCTCGTATTTGTAGTAGTCCAGCGGAGCACAGAAATACCCAGGCTGCACTTCTGAGCACTGTCGACCAATCAGATGTCTTCTGCAGTCACACTGGCCATTTTCCATCATGCACCTTAAGTAACAGAAAACAGGGAATTCAAAGTATATAAATGTTTGAACATTAGTTCTCTACTCCCTTTCGTTGTGGTCTTCACTCAGGAGCAGACTGAATGATTCATACCCCCAACTCAAAGTTAATCCAAGTAAATGATTCCATCCTTTTCATACAAACTACAAAACACCTCTTTCTCAAAAAGCAAATGTTACGAGCTGTGGCCTGACGAACCACGGCTGGGTCGCCTGGGGGAGGGCGTCTGATGTTCAAAGAACCAAAACACCCAATGACCCCAGCTTATCATCACTGCCGATGTGTTCAGGTGCATCAGGAGATAAAGATAAAGATCTGTTTCCGTCCGTACCTGTTGTTGAAGGCTCCACCAAAGTCACAATCACAGGATCTGCAGCCGGCCAAGTCGTTACTGAGCCCCCAGTATTCAGGCTGCAGGGAGGGAAATAAGCCTCAACACCAGGATGTACAGTGACATGTCTGAAGCTCTGCTGACCTTGTAGAGTAAAACTGTATATTTCTTTATCACTACTTCCAAAATATTTATTTGCTATCCTTGACTGGTGAAAAATAAGTTCACTCTAAACCTGAATATCCTCTTTGACAGTGTGACAAAATAAAAAAGGTCTGAACTCATAAAGTGATTAAAACCTTATTAATTAGGATAATAATTGAATTATTAAAACAGTCAATGCACCTGCATGTGCAACATTTAAAAACCTGGCAGTTTGACGTTCTCCATTATCTGGTTTTCTTCCTTGGAAATGCTATACAGCTAACTTGAAATGCTAATCAATGATATTTAGTGGTGGATCATTTGTTATAAAATGTTCAATTAGCGGCAGATTGAAAGGAGAGCAGCTGTTACTCACCAGACACTGGTTGCAGTAGCGTCCTGTGACATATCGTTTGCAGGAGCAGTCCCCACTGATCTGATCACAAGGAGCTCCCATCATAATGATACCACGAGGGTCACAGTTGCAAGCTGATGGGAGAAACAAACGCATGCATGCATGTACACACACACAGACACACACACACACACACACACACACACACACACACACACATAAAGTAAGAAAATGCATATTTGAAATGTGTGTGGTTTCAGTGGCAGACATACACACATATACATACGCTGGCAGCCTAGAGGGTCGTTCTGGCTGAGTCCATAGTAACCCTCTTTGCAGTCGTCGCAGCGTGTGCCTTTCACATTGACTTTGCAGCGGCACTGTCCTGCGATCATCCCCATGTCTGGGTCGGTGTGACTGTCACACACACCCCCCTCCAGTGAGCCCACAGGGTCACAGTCACAGGCTGGAGGTCAAGTAAAGGGGGGAAATAATTAGAGGCAAAAACATCAGAAAACAGCATTTACTATAAAATGGCTGCCACATATAATCCTTCATATGGTGATGTCACAACACACCGCAGGCCTGCACTTTCATTGACTGTCTACATCTTCAAAAAATTTAAGTTTTCATGTGTATCAACATTATTATGATGGGTTTCAAATATAATCACATTTACTCTCATATTCATTTTAAACTGACATTTATAGCAAATGGACATGTCTTTCATTTGTTTTGGAAGCTGTCTCAAGATGATCTAGATGTTCACTGACTTGAAATCAAGTGATCTGTCTCGTCAATGACACAAATGGATAACAATAGTCATAGACAAGAACAATAACATTAGACAAGAGCATTTTCTCTCAAAATATGAAGTTTTCTCAAACCTCTGGTAGAGTTCTGTGTGGGCGAAATCTAATTTTAATGCTCAATACTGGGTTAATTAAGGAGCCATTTACTGCTTCTAAAGTGCACAGTCCAGCAGAACCTTGTTAAATGACTCACCAGCACAAACCCGTTGATCCCTGATATCTCTGATATAGTCTTGATAGTAGAACGGTTTGCACATCTCACAGTTGCGTCCCATGGTGTTGTGCTGACAGTCATCGCACACTCCTCCGCTGGCGTTACCCGTGGCCAAATACACCGCCATGTCAAAGTGACACTGGTTTGAGTGGCTGTTACAGTTACACTCTGAAGAAACAAGCAGAGAAAAAGATGACTAAGATTACTGTGGCTGTAAGAAGGAACCACAACTTTTGAAGAGCTTCATTAATGGCAACTCTCTCGCCGTCTTTAACACTTTTAAAGCAGTAGACTTTAATGGGTCGAGGAGACAGTTCAATACAGCTTTTCAGGAAGGAGTTGCTTCTACAGGAAGAAGAGACTTACAGTGCAATAGCAGGTTAGCAGTATCTGAATGTTTTGCTGGCTTTCTGTGAGTGCTTATATATGTGTGTGTGTGTGTCTTGGAGTAAGAGTTGAAAAAGCCAAGGAATAGTTTTTAAATCCCTCTGAAAACATTTCATTTCATTGTAAATATCCTTATCTGCATCATCTTTTCTATGTGTGTTCTCACATTATGTAATATCCCTATATTATAATTCCTAAAATTTGAAGTCAAGTCGTCTTTTAAGGCTGAAACTCTAAAAGTGTTTTGTGGACTCAGTCACATCACCCACCCCTCCAGCAGCATAGTGGTGAGTAGATAATGAGGGAAGTTTCATTTTAAGGGTTAAGTCAGTAGTAACTATAGTTTTGTTGCATGTATGTGTGCTCCACCTCTGCATGAGTGAGGGTTCTCTGCCTCCGCTGGTCTCCATGGCAGGTCATGATGGAAATCTTTGCAGCGCTCACAGTTCAGGCCCTCTGTATTGTGTTTGCATACACAGCGACCGTGGATCTGGCCAAACAGAATGCAGCAAAATGATAAGTGAAAATGTTGATGTAGGCATATCCACAGTTCAGTTCATACCTTTATTTATTTATTCGCAGCATGAAACCGTGGACTTTTATATTGCAATTCCAGTCTTGGTTTGAGAATCATTAAAGCCCTATAATATGGTTGTAAAAATAATAAAAATAACAGTCTAACAACTCACCATGCCATTTTCCCGGGCGTCAACCCCTGGCACTGGGGCACACTCTGAGGCGTGACCATAACAGAAGCAGCTCCCTCTGACCACCAGCTCATAGATGGCATAATAATATTTCTGCAGGACGTCAAAACGTCTGTCCAGCAAGTCGTCTCCCAAAGTGTTTAGCTTGGTAAAGTTGATTCGTAGGTTGGTGATTCTCAGAAGTTCTACAGAGAAGAAAAAGAGACTAATTAAAACTGATTGTTGTATGATTCAATTTCTTGAAAGCATTTGCAAACTTCAGACACTGTTAAAACAGAAAACATTATGAACCATTATAAATGTAAAGGCTGATTAAGAACTCCGAAGGGAATAAGAAGAAGGACAAGCACAAGCGGGTACTCCTTTGACATTTCCAAAGGGGGGCTGGACATCCCAGCTGACATAACCCTATCACAGGACTGACACATACACTATGCTGAGCTGCTAATGACTGTACATTTTCCATATTCTGAGTTTGAAAGTCCTCACTGACCTTGAATGTCCAAGCTGTATGGGTCTCTCACATGAATGGCAGGATCCAACACTTTATAAATAACCTTGAATACAGAGGATAAATGATCAGGTGGAGAAATTGAGAGAAAAATGAACCATTAGATTCAGGGAGTACTACAACACTGCTATAAGATAGAACCAGAGCATGGTAAATGGGTTTTATTTATATAAAGTGTTGTTCTAGTCTAATGACAACTCAAAGTGTTGACATTACAGTTTGCCATTCACCCATTCACACACACATTCATTCAGTGCATCTATTAGCAACACTTTTTTGTTCTACGAGGGGCAGGCCAGGGTTCAGCATCTTCCCAAGGACACTTCAGCATACAGATGGGGAAGGCTTGGATTGAGCCCACAGAGCATCTCAAACATTACCTCCAGCTTACCTCTCCATTAGTGGAAGGCTCAATGTCAGAGTAGCGTTCCTCGCAGATGATGTCATTAATGTGGCGAAGGCCATTGGATGGGATGCCAGAGAAGGTTCTGGTACAATTTGAGGCAAAGTATCGGTAGGGGCGCCATGTACGGCCAAAATCAGCTGAGCGCTCGATGATCATAGCTGCAGGTCGGAAAGTCTGAGGAGGGAAAGTGACAAAGAGAAAATAATATGGTTTAGTACTAACTAATTAAGTAACAATCACATCAATCAGTAACGTATGAACTATCAGAGAAAGATGAGAGCAGCCTGCGAGGCTGATTTATCTGGACCTTTTGTTTTATATTTTGCTTTGCTAAATGAAGGTGTGCAGAGTGTGCATAACCAACACAAACTTAGTATGCAGCATACCATGCTTCAACATATCATATTATATCCCTCCAGAAACTTAAGGCCTTTTGGGACTGACTGAGAAACAGTCAGAGAATTTGTAGAGATTGTAAAGAAGTTGCAAGTTTCGTTTGTTGCGATGTATAACATGTATATTTTTGTGGAAGCAGAAAAGACAGTAGCAGAAAATATGGGTTTTTGTGTTAAGCTTTTACACCGTGTTCCAATATTAATTCAAGATTTTTGATTCCTAAACTAATAACAAAGACACACATCTAACTTAAAGAGGTGTGCATCAGTCAGTGACTTATATCATGATAGACCAACTAACCTCCTTTCTTTCACTGCTTTCATTAAATCTGGAAGCAACAGCTTCTGTCATGGTCACTTTCATTTTGTTGCACACAAAAAAAAACCAATCATTTACCTGTGCTTTCATGCAGAACCTCAGGGTATCAGGCTACTAAGCTGAGCTTGGGGATGTCCATGTATATGTTGCACTGCTGCTATAGTAAAACTCGAGAGAATGTGCTGTGATTTGTCACTGTGCATTAAAGCTGCACTATAACCTGCACGGTGGTGCAGGACTGGAAGGGATTGGCAACAGTTGTCATTTTTTTCCCAGGCAACATTATGGAGGATTTTAGACAAGGGTCTGCAAACACACACATGCATGCAGGCATCCACATATGCAAACAATGCGCGCTTACCTTAAACTTCATGATAAGGTGTGTGAAGTGGAATTCGGCCTCGAGGTTCAGTCTGATGCTCACGTCCTCCTGTCCTGTGGAGGAAATAACTTTTTCAATTCAATTTTCAATGTACAATTCATGTACAAGTCTCATCTCCCATAGTCACTGTCTGCTTTACTGATTATAGAGAGAACTCTTCCAACTTTCTTTACATTTCTGTCTCTCCTTAAAGGTACAGTGTGTAGAATTTTGTGATATCTAGTGTTGAAGTTGCATGTTGCAGCTGAACACCCCTCACCTCACCCTCCCCTTCCAAAAGCGAAAATGAAACTGTGGTAGCTTCAGTTGTCATAAAAACTCAAAAGGTGTTTAGTTTGTCCAGTCTGGACTAATGTAAAAAACATGGCCGCCTCCGTAGAGAGGACCCCCTCCATGTAAATATAAAGTATTTGAATATAAAGGGTCTTTTCTGGGGTAAAGAAAACTACAATTCATGAAAATTAGATGAAACGAACTAGTGAAAACATTATGAGAATTATTCTACATTAAATATCTGCCAATAGATCCCTTTCACCTAAATCTTACACACTGGACCTTTAAGAAATATCAATGTTAAGATTTAGATTTAGCTAGAGTGTAAGTAACAAGTATTTTTAATGATATCAATGCACCTCAGCAGCTTTCCTTGAATAAACCGATAACATCTTTAATTTATAGGAAGAACAAATTCCTCAAACATACACACATACAGAGAGAGAAACACACACACACACCGTTGACAGACTGCCACCACGTGTTGCTTCCAATGTTGTCCATGAGGTTGATCACGTTTTCAATGCGATGGCTGTTTCTGTGGCGGTACGGATCGTAGCGGTGTTGGGAGTTACACTCGAAACACTTGTCTGACTCCTTTTAAAGAAGAGTAAAAGAAAAAAATTAAATTCAGAAATTCTAAGAAATGTTCAATATCGCTTTGTAAGTGAGCTACTTTCAATTACAACATTTTGTTGCAACACTGGATGAATCAATAAGCCTAGATTGAAATTTCATTCTGTCTATGCAGCTTGTGTCTTGTATTGTACAGTTTCATAGAGCTGTTAAGATTAGTCCTTTCAGTTGTCAAACTGTATTGCCATCGTGTGCCAGTAGCACTGCATGTAGTGCCAGTAGCACTTTGGGAGAAAAGCCAGAAAGGACTGGATTGTGTCTTCACTGGGTCAAAAGATTAAAAAGGAAGAGCAGTCAGAGGGAGAGAAAAGAAAGCACTGAGTAAAAGAGGGGGAGAAAGAGAAGTGGGCTTATGAGAGTAAGAAGGACAGTGGGAGAGTTAGAGGCAGGGGTGAAGATAAAGGGAGAAAACAGGCCGGTCTCTATTCTTGTGAGCCCAGTGGTGCGGCGCAGGTCATTGCCTATTGTGGAGAGCCTATTACACCGGCTTGAGGGCAGGACACTGCATTCCGTGGCAATAATGATGACTCGCAAAAAATTCATTGTTTTCAGAGATAGTTGGGGTGAGATGGTGGGGTGACTAAGACACACAGATAACAAGCAATAATCTCAAACATGATCACAGTTCACCACAGTGATTTGTAAGCCAGGAAATTCATATGCAAGAGTGGAATGGTGAAATCAGTAGATGAGTGTGAAGGCAAAGAGCATGGGAACAACACAACTATGTGGGAACCAAGGCCAAGCCTGGGAGCTTGGTAGATGAGGTGAAAGAAAAAAGTTAGAGAGGATGGTTGTTGAAAGGAAAGACATAGGTGAGATACGTGAGTATGCAGTGAAGAGGGCTTTCAGCAGGGGTGAAGGACAAAGGATGAGATGGACAGAGAGCGAGGGAGATGCTGAAAATGTTAAGAAGAGGGGGTGCTTTTGAGAGGAGGCCACAGAGAGGGGAGCAGGGAAATGAGGGTAGGTTGGCACAGAACAACAGTGGATTCCAGGGCAGCGTTTCTTAATTAGGCTGTTGTCAGGGGTGATTAAGCAGCTAACAACAACATGGCTGTTAAGAGACCCTGAAAAGAAATGCACTAAAGCGTGCTGGAAGTGCTGGACGAATGTGGTTGTGCTTGACCACATGTACGCACACGCCCACTTACATCTATACATGTTAATCAGGTGTGTGTATTTTTACATGCATGTTTGCCTTCTTTACCTGCCCTCCCTAAACCCAGCAGGAAACTTTCCACCCTCAAACACACCTCCACTTACTAATCAGTGATTATTCACAGCAGCATTACTGTGACGTGACACACACACACAAAGCGAAGCGAAAAGAGCCACTTAAAATATACCACCACTGAGAGCCAAGGGTCTGTGGTTTTGTCAGGAGAGAAAATGTGCAGCTACAAAATAACTACAAACCACAAGAGAAACTGTGCTGAGTACCACTCTTGCATGAATACAGTTAATTGTATTTTTGTGCCTCGACCACATTGGTTTACAAGACACCAAAAGGCACAATTGCAGTGTTAAAACATTCCATTGTATTTCACATAACAAAGTAAAGTATTAGTTTTACAACACAGTTCTGAGTGGGTGTGCTTTCGTTCGTGGCACCTTAGAGCAGCAGCGCAGTTGTGCGCAATCTGCAATCGACTTCACTCCTCCCTAGTGTGAAGTCTCTGGCTCTCCAGTCACTCATCACCAGATTGATGGATGGAGGACTGAAGCACAAATATTCCGACGACTTAAGCCGATTTAAGAAATGTTGTTAAATTTCACCTCACACTGAATGAGTACATTATCTGAGATTTGCTAACAATGCAAACAAGGGAGAAATATGCTAACTTGATAGTATGTGTCATTGTGAGTGACGAAACATCCAAAAAAGAGGCATTGACATAAGAACAGTTTATGGAAGAATTGGAGAGGACACCCTTGATGTAAATATAAAGAATTAAACATAAAGGACCTTTTCTGGGGTAAAGAAACAACAATTCATACAATTTAGATGAAACACACAAGTGGAAACATCATGAGGATTATTTTACATCCAATGTGTGCCAATAGATCATCTAAATCTTACACACTGAACCTTTAACTACATTTTCTGCTGTTGTGTTTTGAAATTTGGCGTAGACGCGGTGAGAGAGAATGTGCTGATTTTGGGAGGATCAACTCGTGACTCTGTTTCAACTGAGTGAGAGCCTGAGGACAGCCAACCAGAATTACTGACAATTCAGAAATTCAATGTCAGACGGGTAGTCAGTAGCGTCTGATCGCTCCTTGCACCTTCCTATCCACTGCCAGGCAACAATGCAGGCAAGAAGGTAAAAATCAGTCTGACTCTAACATGAGTCTCATGATTTAGGACAATTGCACATTGTATGCCAGGCTTAAGATGGGGGCTTTACAAAATAAAGAGTGCCCTGCCTCGCTCATTCAGTATCCTTTCCACCTCAGTTCTACCTCTGGAACTGAAATGTCCCTGCTTCTCATATCTCATCTTAGACTTTGACTTTGTCATTCCCCATTTTACGATCTCTGTCTCTTTCTTCACCTCTCTAAATTTATAGGTCCACACAAACAGTGGGACTACGGACCGAACCAGGGCTTGACAGCATCTCCCTAAATGACCTGCTTCTCCTGAGAAGTAAAAACTGATCTCACAAGGGACAAAACACTACCTAGTAGAGCCTGTGTCTTTTAGGAATGATTGATGAACCTTTAAAGGTGAGACACAAATGTTTGGTGTGGGCCTCTTATGTGGGTTCTGACATACCTGCAATCTTCCACACCTTGATTTATGGTCTGACAGTTTGTCATCATACCCCCCCCGCTCACGGTGGTTGAGGGCCTCTCACCAATCAGACAATGTCATTCACGTTCACCTGAAAGTTGACACTGTAAGATATTCCTGCCCTGAGGATATGGAAGTGCAGGCAGATACATGCCTGTGAGATATACTGATGTGCTGTGTGGATACAAGAGTGGTCAGTTTCACCATGTCAGGAATCAGGTCATGTGAGGTTACTACAGTGCAGAGGCTGTAAAACAATGCTACTGACTCTCTATAGCAAAACATATCTGTGGTCAGATTAATGCTGGGAGTGTTAGGGTCCTGGTTTATTAGCTCTGCAAAGAAAGCTATGTTTTTATTGCTGTTTGTCCGTCTGTCTGTCTGAAACTTGGTGGAAGGGTGGGTTATACGCCGAGGAACATCCTGCTAACTCTTGGAGCTGATTTGATGAATAGTGCAAATTCAGGATTTATTTTCACCTTCTTTAACATTATGAGATTGTAAGATGGGCATTTTTCAACATGAAACGTTCTCATGAAATAAAGCAGTGGTCTTGCAATTTGGTGTGGCATTATTGAATTTCAGGGCACTGTTGAGCCTTGAGCCTCTACTGCCATTCTAGATTTGTATGTTCAACCCTGTTCACCTGTTACCCTCCCCATACATCTTAGATGCTCACAAAAAATGCACTACTTAGCACTGTCGCCTCAGAGCAAGAAGGTTTTGACCTACCCCATGTGTCTGCATGGGTTTTTCTCTAGCTTCCTCCTACAGTCCCTGACGCAGATTGGGGTAAATTGTGAATGTGTGAATAGTTGTTTGTCGCAGTATGTGTCCCTGTCATATGTCTCTGTATGTTGACCTGTCTAGGGTGTACCTTGCTTCTTGCCCAATGTCAACTGGGATTAGGTCCAATCCCCACAACCATCAAAAGATAAACACTGGAGGATGGATGGATGGATGGATGGATGGATACTCACAAAACAATCAAAATAACATAATAACGTTCTTCAATTTGTATGTGAACCTCATTCTCTTCAGGTAACTCAGATAAGGTTAGAAGTGACTGCATGGGGCAAATAAAACCAAGCTGTGTGACTGTGCGGTGATTGTGACTGCTTCTATATTTAATACGTTTGAAAGGTAGGTGCTAATTGGCACAGCGTGGCATAAAGATGGCTGTTATTGTGGTGAGGAGGAAATGGCATGGAGGAAGACGGAGAGAACAGGTTTTTTCAGAAAGTGAACTGCCCCTGTTGCTCAATACTAATGTTGGTTTGCCTCTTCCGCTAACACCTCCAATTCCATGGCATCAAATTTCGCTTTGTGCTTGTGGCAGGGTTATTATAGTTAATGAAAACTAAGACTAAAACTAAAACTAGCAATGAAAAAATAATTTAGTTAACTGAAATAAAAATAAAAACTACAATTGCAAAAAAACCAAAAACTAAATAAAAACTACAATGAACAATGCAAAACTAACTAAAACTAAACTGAATAGCAGATAAATTCAGCTTCGTTGTTGTTTCGTTTTCTTCCTTGATTACTGCCTGTCCTGCAGGTGATGGTTAAAGAATGAAATTAAAGGACTTGATAAACCATATTTGGTGTCACACATTGTTTCATCCTTTTTCAGCTTCTACAAGTCAAGGCTTTCTCTTAATACCTGGAAAACTCAAACTAAGACTAAAACTAAATAAAAACTAAACTGAAACTAGTCGATTCCTCAAAATAAAAACTAACTAAAACTACAAAATCACTTGTTGAACTTACTCAAACTAAACTGAAATAAAAAAGCAAACTGAAAAACTAAATAAAAACTAATGAAATTTCAAAACTATAGTAACCTTGGCTTGCGGTCACTCTACTCTCTGTAATGCTCCATGGCGGAAACCAGTAAAACACGCAAAAGTATCATTTAAATACTACTTCCTCTACCATGTTTGTACCTGTTACCATTTATGCAATTATCACCCACTAACCAAACGTGCAATCTGTTATAATGCACATGCAATTTAGCACTCTTTATTTGTAATCTTTGTAGATGAGTCCCTAAAACAGCTCAAATGGGAACATCAAGGTCAAAACAGCTAGAGACAAAGAGATGCAGTGTGAGGACATAGAGAGATCGAGGAGGGTGAGCGTGTGACAAAGGTGTGGTGGACCTGTGTGTATACACCTGGGCCCTTATATTGAATGGCTATGTAGTGTCTGAAGGCCTACTCATGGAAACTGGGCTAAAAATAAATGGACAGATGAACAAATGAAGATAGACGAGAGCAGAATGAGGCATGAAGATGGACAACTGCATGAAAGAGTGAACAAACACACTGCCATTTTTCATTTGCATTGACTGCAGGGGGCCATGCAGTGTGTAGGGAGAGGCGTAGGGCTGAGAGATGAAACAGGGAGGTTAGAGAGTGAAGGCTATAGGAGAGACTTTTAGAAAGGCAGAGTTTAATTATAGCAACACTCAAGGTGAATCACAGCAAATAAAACTCGAAAAAAGGAAAGAAATGATGTGCAACAGTGCGGGTCCTGACCTGCAGATGGCTAACAATGCAGTAGTGCTCAGGCCCGCCCAGGCCGCATGTGGATGTGGCAGTTAGGTTGACTGCACGTCCGATCAAAAGGTTTCCTGTCGCAGGGTAGCAGCTTCCGTCCGTGCAGCCATGAGGGCCTGATGGGAGCTCTTGTCCAAACACACTGAGAGCTGGAAGAGACAGAGGGTGAAAATAAAGGAGAGAATACAAGTGAACTTCTTAATCGTGCATGAGCACACACTATTTATAATACTACAATAAATGATCAAAGAAATTCTCATTAGTCTCATTAAAATCTAATGTCCTGCCTTCAGTTGCTCTAAATATAGTGTCTGTATGCAGCACCGATCAGTGTGCTTTATTTGCATAATTAGGCGTTAGAGTCATTAAGTCTCTCCCCCTTTTCAGGAGCAGTCCATGGTTCTGGTGACCAAAAGTCTGATTTGAACAAAGAATATGCTTTAGTACAGTGCTGCTTTCAGTCTTAATGCTTTTGTTTTTTCAGTTTTTAAAGGAATCATAAGACCTCAGATATAAATTCATCACAATGCCTCAGAGGCTGCATGCCTACATTCCATTTAATCAACACCACCCAGACAAATGGAGCACAGGAAAGGCACAGACACATTTAAAACACCAGTGCATCAGTCAGACCAATGTAGAAATATTAGCTGCAGATTGTTGCAGTATTGTTGTTATCAAAGTGTGTACTGTCTATCAGCTCATATGTAACAAATATCCATTGCTAATAATTATATGCTAAGTGCATATAATGGTCATCAAATATAAAACTAATTTAAGGAGTTCTTATCAAAATGAACTTCAATAATAATTTATATTATATTTTGAATATGTTTGGTGTTTGTGATTATCACCATCCAAAAGTGTTTTGTGGACGCAAACACTTCACCCACCCCTCCATCGGCATAGTGGTGAGTAGATAATGAGTGAATTTTAATTTTTCAGTGAACTATCCCTTTAACCATAACTATTTTCTGGTTCTCTTCCCTGGAACTCTCCCTCTCACCCATGTCAACACTCTCTCTGCATCACTGCCTCTGAATAACAGGCCTCATAACGGACATGTGAGACAAAAAAGAGAGAGAAAGACAGAGTGAGGGGAGGAGCGAAAATCATTGAACTAAAATTTGTTTAAGGGAAACTGAAAGATGGACAAAAACCTAATGAAAAGACTTCCCACAGAAAAGGGGGAAGTTCAATAAGACAGAAAAAGTTGTCATTCATGGACCTTCCCTCACATCACAAACCAGCCTTCAGAGTGTGTGATATTTGAATCAACATGAAGGGAAATTGAGGCAAATGAGTGAGAGAATGTGACTGACAAGGAAAAACCTGAGGCTCCATAAACAGCAGCAGACAGAGTGATGGGGGGATGAGAGACGTGGAGAGAGATTTATGTGGCTCTTGTACAGGAGACAGAGCATCGACATGTTGAGGCGTGATTGGAGAGAAATGGACTGTTTGAGAGGGAATCAAAAACATCCTCTTTAAACCGACTGACTAATGGTGGGACACATGACGGGCTCTTAAACACTGGTGTGTCTATAAAACCGAGACATAATTGCTTGTAATTGATTCTTCACGGAAGATGTTGGAGTGCGAGCTAACTTAACTGTAATCTTTTGTTTTTCAACCCCCTCCTAATTGTATAATTGTAGCTTTAGGTCGCATTTTCATATATGTCTCTGTCAGGCTACATCCATACTACCACGTTTTTGTGTTTTAATCCGTGTCCATACTAACACACCTGGAAACGGATATTCGGTGACTGCTCACGTACACTGGACATGCACGTGCAGTCTATATTACACAGTAATTGCTTGAATAATAGTTTGTGTGCTTGGCATGTTATCAGTTTTATCATTGTAAAATGCTGAATTTAACTGAACAACAGCTGTAAGCAAAGACAACAGGATCAGCCACGCGTGTAATAGATTATCCATGCTGCGCTCTACACTGGTAGACAAGGTTTTCCTCTGGATGAGGGTCATAGAATTTACTCAAACCATATTTAAAAGCTAAGGCTCCAGACTGCAAACATTTAGTCACATTTTGCAATTGTTTTTGGAGACAGTGCGACTAAATGTCATAACTAGGCGCACGTTTTTTGTTAAAATCATCATTGTATAGGTTTTCACGTAAAATACCAGTAGTGGGCAAAACATTTTGTGTGTGTTCCTGAACTCCTCAGACTGGGAGCGAAGAGGAGTCCATACACGCACATACACACACACATACAGGCCCCGGGGCCCTGCCCTCACTCACACGCAATGATCAGCGGCAGTTGGTTTGTACCGAGCTGGAGCTTCCTGCGTCCGCCTCCACATTCATGTTGACCTGCACTCACTTTAACTAATGAACACCAACACTCATCACAAGTTATCAGGACCTGATACATGGAGTACATGGAGTTTACTGAGAGTTTGTTTGATTCACTGGGGAGTTTATGAGGCTGCGTTTGAACATATTGAAAAATTAATTGACAACATTTTGTGTGCGCTCAGTTTAACACGAGACGTGACGCGAACAGCCAGGACTCAGTGTTAAAGTGACACAGATACATGATCCGACACCATCGATTAATAACTAAATACATGATCATAAGTTGGTAAATAATAACCATCCTGTTCAACAAGCTTCTTACACATACCATGTGCCAAATATCTAATATTTATTCAAGAGCAATTTTTGTTAAGAGACCCATTTTATTTATTGGTTGTGTATGTGGTTTATTTTATTTGTGGTTTATTTATCGAAGATATTATAATATTTTTAATTGTTATTCAAATGTCAGACTGAATATTCTTAAGAATTGAAAGTTCATTGCTCTTTGAAAGGGTGTATTTGCAGGATTATGCTCTAATATTATTTTTTCAGCAGTATGAAATTGTTTCAAAATGAGACAGTGATTTAATTTATCACAATCATTTCTGGGACAATATATTGTCCAGGCCTACCGTAATATTTAATATATTTGATTAAAAATTAATATTTTCAATAATGCACCAAGTTAGGGGTTTCCTTGCACAGTTTCTAGCTTTAGTTCTCTGAAGCACTGTATTGGAGACTAACTGAATCAATATTGAATCAAATAGAAATCAAATCGATTTGGGAAATCAGTGGCGATACCCAGCATAATCAGCATGTACTTAAAGTAACAAAAGTAAAAGTGCACAATAGCTTATTTCAGGAAAATATATGACAGGATTCTCAGCACAGAAGGGGATTTGATCTGATGTCAGAGGGTCCCTGCATGGGGACACAGTGACCTGACTGGAAAAAGTCTTGAGGGAACTAGCTTGGAAGAGGTTGATGTCAAGGAGGCTGAACAGATTTTGTTGTAAGCGGTGCGCTTAAACTTTGTGCTGGTGCCCCTAATTTTCAGTAAGGAGCACCAGTGCTACTAGTGGAAAAGGTAAGTCTGGAGCCCTGAAAAGTAAAACACATTTTTTCAGTTTTTGGCAATTAATTAATTTATCTATTTTTGTTTTTTTACTTTCTTGAAATAGCCAAAATTACCCCTCTGTCTGTAGCATCAGTCTGGAATAAAATAGATAATATATAAAACTGCACTGGAAAAAAAACTGAAAATATATATGCACTTACTATTATGCTACTACTGCACTACTACTACTAAACTTAGTTTGCAGCAGAGTAGATTGTGAGGATTAAAATACAATGATATTATGTACAACTTCTGTAGCAAAAGCCAGAAGATTGTCTCAGTTTCCTGATAGTAAAAAACAGCAGAAACACACACAGAAACACACACACATACACAGGTGTGCACGTACAAGATTCTTCTCGAATTCTTGAAAAGCCTGGCATTCATTGTGAGCAATTCTACTGATTACACTGTCAGGAGTAACACAATTCTACAGCCTATTATTCAATTGTATGACTGTATGAACATACTCTACACAGTAAACAAGAATAACAGACAAATACAAGAATTGTACAGGCAGGTGTGCACATGTATAGTGCAAACTTGCGCAACTGCACATAAAGGGGTTGGACGGCAAACCTATGGACTGTAGATAAAGATCAATCACACCCTGACCAAACATCACACACTTACTGAAACTCAAGGATGTAATACAGATACAAGACTGTGCACGGAGAAGAACAGCATGAAGGAATGTGCTGTATCTTATTATGGTTAACCAAAGAATGCATTTCCATAGCAAACAACTTTTAGGGTAAGCAGAAGTATAAACCTGCACACGTTTGTCTTCAGTAAAGCATCACTGGTGTACCCCCCTCCTCAAACAGCCCTTTGACAGACAGACCGACTGTGAGTGGGTTTCAGCTGAACTCACTATACAGGTATGACATTGCACAATGGGTTCACTCACTGGTCAATCAACCTGCACCACTGGATGCATGCACAGAAATATTACTGCACTGATCACGAGAAGGGTCTTAAATTAAGGGTACTGTGAAGAATATACAGGATTAGTAAAAGTAAAAGTAAAAACATCAGTTGTGTCTTTTTATCTCAACATTATATCATTTTTCAAAGTATTTGACACGCAAATGTTTCATAGGAACCTTTTTCCCCTATTCACTTCCAAACAGTGCAAGTGAAAGGGTTAATCCAAAATTGGCTTCCTGTTGCGAGGCAAATCACAGAGTGGCTTTGTGTGAAGTTCAGCTTTGGTGAACTGTGATGCATTTGCACATGTGTGACCGTGCAATTATTTCCTGTGTCCCGCTGCCACAGCTTCTGCACTTCAGTTTGCTTTTCATTTAGCCACTAGACTAGGAAAATACAAGAGTTGATGAAAAGTCAGTAGAATAAAGTGCATACCCTTATAACAATCAAAGCAACACATTTCTGATTTCTTAGAAACTAAAGTACAAAATCTTGGCACAACCAAATTCATTTTCATAGTGCGACTCAACATGAGTCACCAAGGCTGTCACACAAATGACAGGTCCCAACAAACAGCAGGTTCCCACCATATTCATGTGGTTTTGACCACAAATTTGTTTTTGTTTTAAAGCTGCAATTAATTTTAAGCTCTTATCTTTCGAGCAACACTCGCCCTGGCATGCACTGGAGTTATCAATTCATAAAGAGTTTGAAAGGCAAAAGGAACTTCCAGATGTGTTATGGCATCATCTCCTGACATGTTGTCTAGACATG